GTGTCATTTGATACAAGATTGATTCTTCAGTTTCCTTTAGAAAGTAGCCTAATTGTCACTACTTGTGAGTACTTTTGTATCTTGCCATGAAAATACCCGCCAGCCCTACTTGCTATCTTCCCCTACCAGGCCACTTCAATCTGAAATGCAGATCTCAGCGCCTGACCTTGGATGCCCACTTTGAAGAAGCTGGATGAAATCTCAAACTACAAAGCATTTGCAACTTCTGGTCTGAAGCCTGAAACAAATGACTGGCATGTAAACACGCCATAAATACCACTGTCTATAATCTCACCTTCAACTTTTATCAGGACTGAGGACACTCAATACTAAATTGATACACATTTACATTAAGGTAGCAGGAAGCTGAAACTCCAGGCCAAGCCACCATTTGTCTTAAGTAAACGCAGCATGTCAGCAATTCTGTTTACTCAATCCAAGGCTGCTTTCATTTCTTGCTTGTTTTGCTATATATTTATATTGAGGGAACACTTTCTCAGCAGCTTTTAGTCACTTCTTCAATGCATTTTATGAGGAGACAAAGTCAAATCACTATTACTTAATTAACACAATTGTGAAGACTTCACTCCAGCTACACAATAGCTCTCCTAATCTTGCAGAAGGATGCATGACTTCATTATTGAGTATATTGTTTCCTATAAACATATAAAACCCCTACAATAACAATCCCATCAGCTGAAATGAAGTTATCTGAGAACAGAATTAAACTCTAAATGACCCTTTGCTCCACTCCATAGACCCCTATTAATAATTCTAATCTAATCAGTGTGGATAAATGTACTGTTGCAGCCTATGCCAGGCACTCTGCCAGGAGGTCCTACTGCAGTCCATCCGATTCATTCCAGTCCAGAGCTTCTCTGGAGAAGATGCATCTCGCACTGAGAGGCCAATGCCTGATTTCCTCTTTTGTTATCTTTTAGTGGCAAAGTCATGTCCTTGTAACTGATAGACACTTTTCTTTGTAAATAACCCTGGAGTGACTGATAGAGCTTTTGCCAGACAAAGCCTGTAAATAGCTAGGCATTATTCATGCCAGGCCTGAGAACACTGTGTCACGGCTGACAAATTTATGGTAGATATGAGCTCACCTCTTCCACAAATATATACTTTCCCAGCAAATTCATCACATGTTTTAATGGCCCCATACTGAATTTGTCAGCTGTCTGTCCCTGCTCATTGTTTCCTTTGGATTCCTGTCAAGAATTGTTTGTTAAAATCATCTCCCTCTCCTATCCTTCAGCTGCTAGCCCCAGGAAAGATCAATGGTGACACATCTATTGATAATATTTTATATTCAGCTATTCAGGTCATAAATCATTTTAACAATGCTGATATGTTTATTGAGTGTCTGCTGGCATTGCAATTACACAGAAAGTGATGTCACTCTAAATCTTGGCTTTGTTGGATTGCATTTGATTCCTTCCTCCCCTCTCCCACCCCACTTCATAATTAAAATCTGTCACTTTTATTTTTGCAGTTGCCACATTAAAAGCAAAGAGAAGTTTGGCATTTCAGAGGAGGTATGGAATCCCTGAGCCTCTGTCTCCCATTAAAACCAAATACACAAAAGCATTTCCCATTGGTATACGAAGATGCTACTTCAAGCCTGTGCAGATCCCTAAGAGTACATAGGGCTGAGTGAGAGAGCAGCAGAAAAGTGCTATTTTGGCTCTTTGCTCCGACTCAGCAAACCAAGCAGAGGCCCCTTCTCTGAGCTCTGTGCAGCTGTCCGTCGTCAACCTGGCACCTCACATCACATACCAGTGGGAAGAAGACACCAATCCCCTGGGAGGGCATCAATTCGGCAAGGAGAATTGAGATCAGTTGAGAACAGGCCCCAAGGCATCCTTCACGCTGCTTCAGCCAGGCTGCCTCCTGCTCACACACTCACACACGCTGCTCCCCCTGCAGATCCTCTATTGGAGACACTTACCAGGAAAGCTCTGGAAGATGAAGAGAACCATTCCTACAGCTCCTTCAGTTTACCTCCTTGCATCTGTGGCTCCAGGAACTCCTAAGCGGTGCTCCCCATTGTGCAGAGGTAGCTAAGTCCACCATCCAGCTCTCTACATTTTTTTCACCTCTTAATTCATGACCACAAGGTTACACAGATATAATATTATTTAAAAAAAAAAAAATAATAAATCAATCTAGGACTTTGCAATTTATTTGAGACTGTTTTCCTCCTTAGCAAGCCTCTGCTGTACATATCCAAAGAAAAGACAGAAAGCAGGAGAGTGCTTGGCCAACAGGAAAAGTCACATTTGTTCCTTGAATGCAAAATGTCATCACTCATTAGGGAAGACTCAAAAGCAGAGTTTCTCTCAATGCAGGCAGCAGCAAAGATTTACACCATTTCACCCTACTGCTAATTTTAGTGTCTGCCCTTTTAAAACATCCTGTAAACACATAGAAGGAATGATGTGGGTATATAGAAAAGACTATTTTTTAAACGCATAAACACAATGGTTCAACAAGCCTAAAGCAGTTTTCAGTGGGATGCGTATTTTTCTTTATGTACCTGGATATGCAGAACTGATTTTTTCATTACCAGAGATGAGACACACCTCTAAAAATATGTTTCAAATATACAGCCAACTACCTCTGAGGTGTCCCACTAATTTGAAACTTTTATGATCTGCCTTCACAAGCCTATAAAACTGGACAAGAGTGCTGATGAGAATTTCAGGCTGTATAGAAATACACTAACAGTTTTTCCTGTGGTACATTGGCACATCAACGTGTAGATTTAACCTCTCTTGTGGCTTTCCAGAGTGCATTGCTTCTAAAGGCTAGATTCAAATTTCATTCATCCCAGTATAATTTCACTGTGTCAAAGGATATTACTTTAGATCTACACAGACTGGATCAAGAACACAGCCTGCTTGAATTTAATGGGTCTAGAAAAGAAGAGCAGATCTGCCCAAACGAGAAACTCAGAGCTGTACCAAAGTCTGGACTGTGATCTGGCTTCTGGGTTTGCAAGCGACCCAGATACATTTACTGTGTGGATTTTAGAATAGATCTGAAAATTGCAGGAGCCCGAGCACCACAGACAAGCAAAAATTCCTGGCTGATAATTGTACTTTTGCTTTTGCAGGTTGCCTTGTTCTCCCAGTAAATGTTTCATTGAATCTTGGCCAAGTCTTAACATTTCTTTTTTAGCAAAGCCCCCAGACCAGACTACTTTCATATGTTCTCTGCCTTTCTGCAAACATTCTGTGGCTTCATAACTCTGAGAGGTATTTTCCTGATACCAGTGCTTCCATTTTCCTCAGCACTGAATTGTGAGATAGCTTATATCCTCTTCATCTACATCTTAATGGACATTCTTGTAAAGAAGCGGGAAGCCTAGCTGTTTATATTGGGAATGCAAAAGAAATGCACTGCTTACAGGGGGCTTAGCCTAAATTTGACTGAAGTCACAAAGAAACTCTCTGACTCTTCTGGCCCCTTAACAACTGTACATTCCATTATAATGACTGCAGGCATAAATCAGTCCTGAGTTATGCCTGTCAGATAACCAGTTAGATATCTACTTAGCCATATTTGCATTCAGCAACCTAATTTATGTACACACTCTTCAGTACCATGTGTACATAGATAGATTACAAAACTTGATACATAAAATTATAATAATCATGTTTTTCACTCTAAACTACCTCTCCCACCACCATGTACAAGTAGAAGCCAAACATTCCTACCTAAGGCAGGCTTTTGAATCTGATTGAGTTGCTAGGCACTGTGTAGATATGGTGGGAATGAGAGAGACCAGGGGTCGAAAATGTCTCCAAAAAGGTCACAGGTCCACCTAACTTTGGGCAGCTAACCACAGTGCCCACTTTAGAAGTCTAAATCATCTTAAACTGCCCTTATTGTCAAATGGAGAGTCATGGTCTTTTCCGTGATGATGATTTATTCTAGCTGAGACACCTTTCTGTTCCCATTAGAGTGGTACCTGGCATTTAGGCACATCTTGTAACTGCTAAAAGTCAGATGGGCTGAATCTATACCTACGAGGTTATCAAATGTAATTTACTGGGATACAGATGCCTAAATATATCTAAGGATTTGGGTCAAGACACCTATTTCTCTGTTAGGTCTCCCTTAACAATGAGCACTGTTTTGTCAAAGGGTGTTACCAAAATCAGACAAATGCTGAAGTTTGGTCACTCACTTCTATGGACTGCCTTGACTCCATTCTTATCCATTACACTCATGGGCCAACATGCCTGTACCCCCCGAAGATCTGCCAGATCTCAGGAACAGTCCCAGCTCATGCATCTAACAAAGTACATAGAAAGCATGAAGTAGAATTTTAGCAATGATAATATATATGGGCAAATAAATTTGATATATTATTTGGCTGTATTTATTGTCAGGGGAACACAAATGTCTTTATCACCACAGATTCCAGAATATTTCAAGCACGAATGTGGTATTGTGTTTGTTTTTTGTATTTTTGGGCAGTTTCCTATACTGTAGTCATAGCAAACCCAACTCTCCAGAAGACTGTGAGAAACTTAATTTCCCCAGGAATTGTTTATTTCCATTTTAGCTTATTCTGCTAAACTTTTCTGTACCAGTTGGGGTTTCAATGCTGTTAATGCTTTTGCACTTTAAAATGTAACAGTGACTGGGAGGAGGTGATTCATTCCCACATTCACTTTGTAATAAATTGAAGCATGTGCACTGCACAATACTTGTGCCAATTCCATTATTTTATATACAAAAAAGTCATTATGTTCCAAAGTATTATCATTTCCTTTCTTCCCAGACAGTGACCGTCTGTAACACGTTATTTTGGACAGACTCCCTGCCAGATTCTGGGTATTCCCCCACTTCCAGAACCATTCCTTACCACAAAAACAAAGAAGGGGGAAAAAAAGAAGTAGAGGGAGTTTGGGAAATTCAGGCATATTATACCCACAGGTATTGCTCACCTATTAGCTCTAGCTTGATTACTGATTTTCACTCACCCACTTTCCCAGGAGCAGCCTTTAGCGGAACTGGCTATCTTTACACAGCAAGTTATCTTACGGATCTCAAACAACTGCTTACAAATGGGCTTTTCCAACAGGACGCAAGCTGTGTTTGATTTAACTCAGCGTATATTTATGTGACAGAATCTAACCAAGTTGGACTTTGTGCCGTAACCATAATGTTTGCACAGTTACACCTGGGGAGGAAAGCCCTCCCACTACAGTACTAACAGGATGCCAGTGGCAAGAAAGTTTACATAATAAAATCATGGCTTAAGGGATTTATACATCTGTCAGTAGAGCAGTGATGACAGTCCTCATTTGTAAGCATGGTACACAACTTCGGTGGAAATAAAAGATTAAGGATAAGGCCAAATAAAACTTCCTGTAGATAACTGCATCCTATCGCATGCCCACTGCCTCCTCCAGCAAGGACCCTGAAAGGCACTATGCTGTGAAAATGTCTCTGGGGGTGACACCGTGTCCTGGCTGTAGACATGCTCCTCTTGTCATCCAGCATGGCCAGATGTGAGCTAGCTCAAACAGAATCAGCAGCCACAGAGCAATGTTTAGCATGGCACTGGCCCATGAGCACCACTGGACGCTCCTGTGGTTCCCACGGTGATCTTGGCTCTCTCGTTTCTCCTCCACCCTTTCCTTCCTTAGATAGCCAAAACTTGCAACCCTGAGAAGGAAGAGGAGGGCAAAGGAACAAAGGATGGCATAATTACCTCCACCTTGGCACCAGCATCAAGCTTGACATGCAGTAGAGCATGGAGCAAGAGCAGCTCACATTGACTACAATGCCTGGACAAGGACCCAGAAGCAATGCTGAAAGCTCCTGGTTTAGAAACTTGTGGCTAGAGACAGTGCCCTTTCTTTCATCAGCTGCTATCAGACTTCCATGGCCAGCACAGGTATCAGTCAACCGTGTCAAGAATACACTGGCTTTCTGCTCTCCCAGCTGCAGCATAGAGCAGAAACTGGCTGATTCGAGGGCTGGAGGGTGCGGGAAGGGAGATGCAGACAGGAGGAAGCCAAGTAAAAGGCTGCTAGGCTTTTGTAGCAAATGAAAGTGGCAGGCAATAAAAGAAGGTTGCAGGAGAGCACTGTGACTCACTTGACTGGCCAAGCTCCTCTGAATCGCCACCTTGGGGAGATGAAAAGCAGGACTAAAGGAGCTCAGTTGAAAGCCCACCTGGCAGCCCAACTCATAAAGTAAAACCGTCTGGTGGTTTCAAAGCTCCGCAGCCAAAAGGAGTATGGGAGGGGAGAGAAACTCCAAGAACCCAGAGGAGCAGCTCATGGAGACAGCAAGGGGGAGAGGACCGAGATTCCGTTGCGGATTTTCTGTCTTTAATGGATCCCTTCCTCGTTCACCCCGAGCAAGGCAGCTGGCACGTGCTATCTCAGCATGCAGATGGATCAGCAATGTCAGATGTGCAGCTGTGCATATTTAACACACAGGGATCTTATTATCTATTTGCTGGCTAGCCAGCAGCAGGCTGATTTTGGAGGAGATTGCTCACAGTTGTAGAGAGAGAAAAATAGAGAGTAGTCCACAGTCATTAATCTTACACAACACGCTGCGCAGCGTTAGAGCCAGAACTGCTACTCTCCTGCATCTGTCCCTCCCACCAGCACTAAATCACCCTCTGGTTCTCAACCCCTCTCCGTTACAGAGAAGAAAATTGTCTGGGTTGGAATTTGACACCACAACAGCATGGGCAGCCCTGCTGTAAAGAACAACTGCTCCGAATTTTCATTGGTCTCAGATCTCTAACAAGCCTGTGGTCTTATCACTGGCCAGAGGGGAAAAAGGAGAAAAATGAAGAGTTTTGATGTTAGTCATTGACATTTTCAGGTTGGGAATCAATTTCAAGCTCACAATGAGTCCTTCTTATGTTGAGCTGTGTTCCAGGGTGCCTTGGCTGGCATCAGAGACAGAGGTATGCTGCACACACCATCATTCACTAAGCAAAGTCTGAAGTTTTTAGGTTCTCATTTAGAAAAGCCCCCAAAACACGTCTGATTTGATGCATGTGATGCAGTCCTACTGGGAGTCAATTTAAAGTCCAGCCAGTCCTTCAGGGGTTTGCTGAACTGAAGTCTATATGCTCATGCTGGCTGGAGCCTGTTTTGGTTTGTCCTTTCCCTGTATGCTAGAGCCCCAAACTGATCCATCTCCAAATTAGCAAACACCTGCAGGGCTCTCCAGGAGGAGAGACTCAGCAGTGAGGTCGAAGTCTTTTTATGTGCACAGTCTACAAGGTAAGAAGCACTGAGGGGGTCCATGGGGCTGTCCACAGGAGTAAAAGCCAGCTGAGATCAACTCACGACCAGTTAAGTTCTGCATCCCAAACACCAAATAACAACATCAACTCACTTGCCATAAACTCAGCCAATAAAGCTTGTATGCTTTGGAAAGTGTGTTTTAGAAAACAAAATCTCTTTTTTCACCTGCTTACTACGTGGTACCCTCAAACAAAGAAGACTGTGTTTGATCTGGATGGTAGCTGGCCATGTCAGCTCTGCAGCAACCGACAACTCATGCTCAGATGATGTATTTTGAAGCCACAGTGCTTAATTGCAACCCATTTAGCTTCATTGTGTCAGGAAACAGGCTTTCTATTTCTAACACTCGACTGGATATAGAGAAAAATTCTCTGCCAAGAAACAGCACCAGGAATGGAGAGACAAGCAGGTATTGTAAAACAGCCACAACACTGCAAACATTCAGGATGTGCTCTCTGGTCTCTCTGAAGATAGAAGACAGCCTCACCTAGAGGAAAATCCCAGAGAGAGAGAAAGAAATTTCCAGATGAAAGCGAGGTGCTCTCAGATAAAATGGACTTCTTTGAAGAAAAAGTGCAATTAAGAAATTAAAAATATAGGTGATAGTAGGGAAAGCTTGGAGCCACTTGGAGCAGATTGAACACTTTTAATAGCAAACATGTCCCATTACACACGATGTAAAAGTATAATCATAAACTCCTGGCAAAAACTTACCATTCCAACTCTAAAATAAAAGTTACCCAAAGAGAAACATGCAATGAGAGCCTTCATGTCCATAAAGAAAGAAGACTTTAAGCCATATCTACCTGCAGAGCAGCACAACTTTTGTGATTTCCCTCAAGTGCCTATAAAACACTGTTTTATCAATGCTGAAAACTGGCATCATCAGTAGGGCAGAGCAAGAGGGACAATAGCTGAAAAGACACACAGAAAGTGATAGAGGGAAAGCTTAACTGAATGAAAAACTACTTTGAAAATAGCAAAAATAAAACTGCAAGGACTTTCTGCAGAAACTGAACCAAGAAAAAAGAAAACGAAGGTTTGGAGGTATTGAAGCAGCATCTTTGGATGTATTGAAGCCATCTCACAATGGCATTCTTTTCCTGGACTGCTGGAAAAGCTGGCCTCATTGAAAAGGATGTGATTAAATAACTCAGACTTTAATGAAAGAGATTATGTTTCTCTAGAAAGGAGCAAAGCCTCTGAAAGACTCCTTATCAGCCCATACTGCACAATGAAGAAGAGGTCAGATTCAAGTGGTACATTAGTCAAATAATACCACCTGAACATTTACTTTCAGCTCACTCTTTTTGACGAAGGCCACGGCCAACAATTACTAATGGATAAGAGAGGGTTATTTGATGGAGACCCGACATGCATTACAGCAGACACTGGCATGGTTAATTGATCAGAAGCATCATAAGTGAAAGAGTTATGCTGAAAATAATGCTGCTACCAAGCGATGTAAATGTGCTACTGGTCAGCATCTTTTCATAATTAGGTCATTTAGGAGCCTTTTGGGTCACTGATGGTGGAACAGCAGCCAAGTCCCCCAAATATGCCTGCTGTGACAGATGCCCATGTTACTGTTGTGTAAAAGCACTACAGGTGCTTGGGAAGAAACAGACCTTACAGCCCATAAATATTTTAGCCAGGGCAGATGAATAATAAATTGGTGAGAACAACATAGTGACATGAACTCATGTGAAACTATACCACACACTGTGAACAATATGGCCAACTGCATTAAAGCAGGACACTAGAAAACATCCTTAAGAGCTGGTCATCATTCTTCTTGACCCTGTTTCATGGTTCCATAACAAAACCTGGCCTCTGTGCAAACACTGCAACCAGTAACAACAGAAGTGCTGGCTCTCTGCATGAATTAAAGCTAGAATAACCTAATTCCATACTGTTGTTCATAAGCAGCTTGACTTGCAGGGAGCTAATACAGCAGCACCATGCATGAGATTTGACAGAAATAAAGGAAAAACAGCAAAAGTAGCAACAAATAGGCAGGAAATAAATTTCTGTATCATCTGCTTCTTTTCCACTTCTTCCAAAGAAATAAGTTCACAAATGTTAACTTTTTACTGAAAATCAACATAATAATTAGAAAATGCCCAAGAACTTTCATCCTCAGACTTGAAGCACGCAGACGAAATGGAAGCTAAACCCAAATCAATCCATTCTGCTTCCACATTATAAACTTGAAATAATACTAAAGATGGCATGGCAAAATAAATGAATTAATAAATAAAAAGTCTCTGATTTTCCCATTAAAGAAAAGAATTTCACAGCCCCAGAGCCTGGGAGAAAATATACAGATCGTAAATCTCCATCACTCTTCTCATTTTAAGTTCTTACAAAGCAAAATCTAAGCATCCATGTTCTTACAGCAGCTATCTCTGGTGCCATTCGAAATAAAAAAGAAATCTACCCTAAAACAATAATGAAACTTGATCACACATTCAGGGTAAAAATAATCTTTCTCCCCAGCTGAAAAAAAACTCCATTCTGCCAAACTGATCATCACGCCTGTGTCATACTGTGCCAAAAAGCAGACTGAAATTATTCAGGTTCATTCCACAGCCTTTAAGTGGTTCTGGCTCAAGCTCATCCCGACCCAAACCAGATTCACAAAAGTGAGGCATAGGTAGATGACAGTGATACCAAGCAGAGGAACATAATCACAGGGCCTTTTCAGAAATCATCTGCTAGACCAAATGCTCTTTTTTTCCCCTGGCTCTCAGATTATAACTCACT